ATGACACAAGAGTTATGAATGGTTCGCACGAATGTTTACGAGTCCATTGGATTGCTCTGTTACATTTTTTCTTATTTGGTCGTAGATCACATGAACTTGAATACATACCTTCTTTTAGAAGGGATAAGATGTCTTCTTGATGCATTCAGTCCGCTCATAAATCACATAGTAACTACAGTTTGTTTTGTCGGATAACGGAAGGCTAATTTAAATAACTAAAGATTAACATTATCAAAAAATAACTAAAGATTAAAAAATAATAATTGAGGAGTTGCATAAGGAATTTATTAAAGTTTAGTGAGTAAAGAGAAAAATGCACAAAAGACTGTAGGGCTGGCATTTATCTACAAGACGACAATTAAAATAAAATAATGTTTAGTTAATTAATGAATAAAGTATTATTGAGTGAATTAATAATGTGGCTGGGCTGGCTGCTGCTATCAACGCCGCTTCTGTGCTTCTTTAATTTCTTCCCGAGATTTAATATTTATCTTATTAATATTAAACCCACGCGCTGTCTCAGCAAGCATTTCTCGTGCTTAATTTTTCCGCTGATTATTATTTTTTTATTAGTGAAAAAAAACTAATAATCCGTCTTTCCTGGTTCTCTCCTTTTTATTATCTTTATTACTTAAAATCCTTCCTGCCTATAAGGCTATAACCACCGGACGTTCTCTTTCCTTTCTCTCTCTCCTTTCCTTTCTTCCTGCGTTTCGGATTTTTCAGAGAATCTCTATTCGATCCCGGCGAGCTCGACGTCGAAGGGAGGCGCCGAGAGATTCGCAGGGAGGAAAAGGAGTGTCCTGTTATCCAGTGCTCATTGATTTATTCTGTCCTTCCCTTTTTGCCGGTCAAAGCCCGTCGCTGTCCCGAATTCTTACTCCCCTCCGGCGGTCCTTTTTTGTCTTTCCGGTTGAGAGGGGGGGGATTATTGTCCTGTATTCGAATTCAATTCAAATGGCAACGAGTTTTGACCGATGGGAGAAGGATCCGTTCTTCCCTGCCGCGGAGGAAGTTCAGGAGTCCGCCGACAGGTATACCCTCTTCCTGATTCATTTCGTTCATCTTTTGCCCCTTTTGTTTGGTGCTAGTTTAGCTGCTCTGTACCGTTAATCGGAGAATTTTCATCTCCGGCGGGTTTTGGCGGGTTGTCGAAGGAAAAGTCCGTTTTATTTATCTACGGTTTGTCAGAAGAGATGTTTGTTCACGTTTTGCTACGTTTGATAGCGAATTCAGTCCAAGTTTCGGGCGGGTTTAGCCTAACAGTGTGAAAATGATGGTCGATTACTCCCAGGAATATCTTTGGGGATGGGGATAGCAAAGTTCAATTTCCACATTTGAGTGTTTCTACCATACGATTTTCTGAGTTTTGGTTCTGTTTTTTGTTTGTTTTCTTTGTTCTTGTTTCGGTGGAAAAGGATGGAGTCCACTTACAGAACATGGGTTCACGCCAAGAAAGACAGCTCTACTATGTGGGACGCAGAAGAACTCCGCCGGGATTTACATACAACCCTAGGCACCACCAAATGGCAGGTAACCTGCTAATTCATGCTCACTCTTCATGGGAAAGTGGATAGGGTGTCTGTTTAGGTGATGCTGGTTTCGAGACGTCTATTCTGATTTTCGAGTTTGGTTATGCAGCTGGAGGAGTTTGCTAAGGCTGTGAAATGCAGTTACATAAATAGCTCCACCGATGGTGCTAGTGAAAGGCACCGTCAATTCATTATTGCGATCGAGCATCATATTTCTAGAGTAGAGGCTTCGCTAAAGGAATTTTCCAATTCATCAGGGGATGCATCATTGCCTTGGGTGACATTGGATGAAGGTGAGCGAAATGAACTTGCTGCATTTCTCTCAGGGCCATCATCAATGTCCGGAGAAAATAGTTCTATGAGAAGTGATAGGAGTGATAAGACCGTGGAAGAAGCAGCGCCTGATGATTGTTCGAAAGAGGTTAGTCACTCGGTGGAGTGTGATTACCCAGACGCCAAAGAAGAGATGTCTTACGGGCACAGGAGGTCAGTTAGTGCAGGTGCTGATATGAGCGCTTGGACAATTCCGATTGCTGTAGATGGAGTCCAACAGGATTCTTTTAAGGCAGAGTCTCAGCAACCTCCAAGGAAGATACCTAGTCTATCTGTGATTGTCAGTTCCATCGAAGCTATGCCCAAACTGAAATGGCCAAAGAATGGTGTTAGGAAGTGGAAGGCAATGGATCGTTACGAAGAATCTGATTCTATTCCATTGCATTCATCGCATTTAACTAGGGTGAGTAGGAACTGGCCTAACTTTTCTATGTTGAATTTGTCTACCGGATCCTGCTCTTTTATCTGTATGATCATGTCGGCATTAGTTCTGAATTCTGATTAAGTCTTTGTTTGGGACAGGGTATTAATTCATGCTACGAGAAAAGCAAGAGCTGTCTGGAGGGCTGTGATGAATATTATGATAAGCCACTTTATGGCTGGTATGGTGCATTACAGAGGCAACTTCAAAGATCCCAATATCAGATGCAGTATGGTCGACCCATTCAATCAGTTTTGTGGATTTTCATTCTCTTCTGCTTTATTGGTGAGTGACCCAAGACTTACTCCAGTTATTTCGTATGCTCTTCATTTATTTTGTAATGCATGCTGCTGGGTCGGCCTTCATGTTTTAAAGTAGCATGCGTGTTTTTTTTTTAAATAAGTGTTACGCTAATTCATTTGTGCTCTCTTAGCCTTGTATTGATTCTCAATGAACCTTTAATTATTTTATTCTGTTGAAAGATATTTATTCCCTACTGATCGGTGCTCTGCAATCTATAATGAACTCGTGTGACGTGTATACACCTGGTGTACTGATATTGACAGACCACCTAGTTCTTGGAACAATTTTGTTATTGACTCTTCCATCTAGTGGAGCTTTTAGGTTCTTCAGGATGTTGTACCAGGTTTTAAATGTTCAACTTTGTATTGTCCCTTCTCTAGTTTGATTTTGCATATGCTGAATGAGGTTTCAGGTGTTGTATGTAACTACACTTCTAGCCTAGAATGTCAATGTCGTCTCTATGCTTTGCCTGCCCCAGACCCTCTGTAGCTGAGGGTCTTGAAGAAGATTTTTGACAGCTTAGTTAATCTTATTAACAATGTGAGATCATCAGGACACATGCTGTTGCAGAGCAGCAAAATAGAGACCCCTTGGCTACTTTGATAGCCGGAAGAGCTGTTGTCGATGTTCTAGTTAATCCCGAAACTCGGAATAGATCCGATGACCATTTCCTGAAACAAGTCTCGAGACGCTCGTTTGTTTTCGCTAGGTTCAGAAATGAATCAGCAGGGGAAATGCTTGAATTACACACTGCCAATTAAATGGTCCCTTTGAATGATTTTCTGTGTGGTACCATGTCCATATCCAAACACAGCTGTGCTGATTCAGTTACTTATAGAGTGGTAAACCCTTTGTTTAGGAGGAAGGAAACTTATTACACTTCCTTTACAATTTGTCATAAGTGACATGCATTGCCCTACCTGTCTTTTTTTCTTCTTCTTTCTCTCTTGTAGGTATTATATCTACCTCATAGAAGGCAATAGTTTTATGAACTTGTCACGCCGACGACTGCAGGACTGCAGTAGTTGTTTCTTTGGTCAAGTAACTGAATACGGATTCTAACAATGGTGATTCTTCTGTTTGCAGGTTTGATTGCATTATGTGCGCTATAAGACAGCTATAAAACCCTTAGCAACATATGGGTGAAAACACTGGGAATCATGGGGATGGAACAGAAGGGGAGAATTCTGATGTGAAGACGAAGGAGTCGAGGGCGTCGGACTAAGAGAGGTGACTAGCTACAGCCTACAGTTATAGCTCTAGGTTTATCTACCTGTGACTTGTTTGTATCCATATAAATATATTACAAGAGAATCGTGTCAGACCATCCCCAGCCTGCCAACTTTGTCGTACTCCATGTCTTTGTCTATGGTGATGACGAGCTGGTCTTTGTATTGTTTGTATAAAGAAAAGAAAAAAACATGCCAAGAAATGTAGCGGAGAAGGTTTGACTATTTTGGCAAGGGAAAATTATATACTGGAAAAGTTATAATCACCACTTGGAGTGTTTATACAATATACAAGCACATCTTGTTTCCTTTTTCGTGGTTGGTTGCAAAGAATCAGTTGATTTGTTGGCTGACCAAAACCAGATGGGTCTTAATGTAATGACCAATAGTGTTAGGCTGTTAGCCGTCTGTGTGGTTGGCTACAGCTGCTATGGAAATCACCCCGACGAATCCAATATGATAAAATTGGAGGGATTCGGGGATTAATATAAACTCAAGAATTAGCTGGCCTCAATTAGCAGAAATTTGATATAGAGTGTTATCCCAAAATTGAAACTGAACCAGTCAAGGGGCTTATAAGTTTTCAATAATTGAAAACGGATATAGTTCCTTAACGGGAACGGTTTCGATTAGAACAAATTGAAAATCGAAATTCATTGCACTCTTTGTAATAGTTTTGATTAGAGTAAGGTTCGAGTTTTGTTTTGTTTTTTTTATCGGTTTTTTTATTGAAATCAAAATCTTTAAATACAAACTAATTCGGGATAAAAAATTTGGAACCTATAGGATTCTTATAAGTTCGATTTTGGTTGGTTTCAACCAAAAAATCGTACCCAATTCCCCAGCCCTAGTCATAATAACTCCAACTAAAACCAATTTATTTTGGCTCAAACTTCATTTGATATTATGGTTTTTCAGATTTCTATATAAACCGACACAAACAGATTATACCATCGGTCCAAATATTTCACGTAATTCGAGAGTCTAGACTCTAGACAACTTAAGCCTCAACGACCATGATTGCACAATCACAGTACAGGAGCTCATACACATGGATAGGGCCATACGGGGTATTGGCCCAATAGTATTTTGGTCTCATTCTATTTCTAAATGGGCCCACTTGTTTCCTGATCAATGAGATAACCCATCCCAGAATTTATCGCGTCTTTTAACGGGCCACGAGGCCCAATTCCCACGAAAATTTAACAAACGAGGAAAATGCAAATGCTTGCTGGGAAATCAATATCATCCCCGTTGTGTACTCGTCAGTCGTCTCTTCTCAATTTCTCCAGTTCTCTTCTCGTGGCTTGGCTGGAAGTGAGCTTAACAAAACTTCGATCCTGAACCCGGATTCAGAGGTGAAGCCCCCTCCTTGCGTCCCAGCTCCAATAAAGCGAGACCGAATCAATGGTGCTTACCAATTTCGATGGCGTCGGCGTAGGATTTGGTACCGTCGATTCTCTCTGCCCCCATAGAAATGATTTCTCTTCAATTGCGTCGTTCTTTCGTCTTCGCTTCCTGGGTTAATTGCCTAAAAGAAAGTATCTAATTCTGCGTCTCTTCTTCAGGGTTTGGAGTTGGTTGTGGCTTCGGCGTTGGATGGGGGTTTGGCGGTCAGTTTCCCCCTCCCTTACCACCCTTTTCAATTTCCCCTCTCCTCGTTCTTCGGTAGCTGGATGTGTTTGAACTTCGAAGCTAGCTGACATAATTCCTTTTGCATGAGCTTGGGGAAGAAGTTGATTCCAGTCATTGATGGGTTTTTGGGTCTGAATTACGTTGTATCTACCACTTACCCATCGACCCTTCTTTACGAATCCATCTTGCTGAATGCTGAGTAGAAAAAGAATGGAGTAGCAACTAGAAGAACAGTTGAGCTTGTTGTTGTTCTAGACTTGCAGTTATTGGTTCCGTAAGCTGTTCTACCCATGCCACGAGTTATTGCAAGTTTGAGTATCACTTCGAGTTGAGCTTTGCCGACTAGGTGAAGGGCGGATCATGATTAGGGGAATGACTTGCGAAGATCTTGCCTTTTATAGTGATCTATTGAATGCATAGGAATTTGGAGATATCAGTGTTTGTTGTGGTATTCAGCGTATATATTTCTTTGCCTAATATCAGTTGATGGGGAGCGATGATACTCATCTTTGTCCCATCATTTGCATCTTCCTATCCGTTACTGCAACTTATCTTCTCTTCCGTCGTAAACCGAAAGCCAGCATCTCATTTCCTAATCTTCAATGTCTGTCATGTTTCTTCACAGGGATGCCACTGAATATTTTGGGCCTTGGTGCAGGTAAACACAACGTGATTGTTTCATTCTTTTGTACGTTTATCTCTTTGTGCTGGCTGTAAGAGTACTTCATTCAAGCCTTTTAGCTGAAGTTCTGTTTGTCCTTTGACAGGAGGAGGATGCGGAGTTGGGCTAGGACTTGGATGGGGCTTTGGCAGTCACTACAGATCATCCAGACTCACTTTCCACGGTGTAGAGTTTGGGAAGAAAGACGAACCAAGCAACAGCAAGAGTAATGCTAACGCCCCAAGCAGCAAGCAACTTCAAAAGCACACGTCAAGTTAGAACCTCCAAGTAGCTTCTTCACACTGTACTGTAACCCTAGTTCCAAGTTATCGAGTGTGAATGGAGATAGTGCAGGTGTTCTTATGTTATCAGTAAGGCAGAACTGAGAACCGTCATATTCCTGATGTTCGCGATGCACTTCTCATCTCAATCAATTGAAAGCCACATTGTTTGTGAATCACTGTTATCAATCAATCCCCAAGCTTTGAATTAACAAATTGATAGAATGTTTTTACAAACAGAAATTTCTTATTTAGAAACTAGGGATCAAGATAAGTGAAACAGAAAGAAAACCTCCAGGTATCAAACAGAGTACAAACAACAATACATTCCAGGCTCGATCAAAAGCCATCACGAGAACCTGCAAGTTGGTTCAGGGCACAATCTTGTAACCCTTCACTTTATCAATCCAGGAAATGAACGAGCTCTTTGAATTCCTGAACCCCAAGAACCCATGCTCCTTGCTCTTGTTCATGCTCGCAAGAACATCCTCCACACCACATATCATATCCACAAACCACCAATTCCCAACTTCCTCCAGCCTCGTCGGCTCGAGCTGATTCTGCTTCACAATCTCATCCCAAACCGGCCCTTTCTCCTTCATCATCTCCACCAAGCTCACTCTCTTCTCCGCATCCTCTTCAAACCCATAATTGTCTATCCCAAACTGCTCCGCCAACACCTTCCACAAATGCTTCCACTTGAACACATCCCCATTCACTATGTTAAACGCCTCGTTCTTGGCGTAAGGATCCACCGCCGCCCATATCTGATGCTCGGCGATCAGGTCAGCATCCGACGAATCCGAGTAACAGTTCCAAGAAGCTTTCGTCCCCGGGAAAATCAGAGGCAAACCCTCGTGCTTACATATGGCGGCGTAGACGCAGAGTGATCCAATCGCGTTCATCATGCTGTAGGGAGAAAACCCCCAAATTTGATTGGGCCGGTGTACGGACCACGACAACCCTTCCCTTTTCCCGGCTTCTTCGTAGAGGATGTCTTCCATTGTGTAGTAGAAATTGGGGGAATTCAACCTCGGGAGATCTTCTGTGAAAGGGGAGTCGTGGGGTTCGATTTTGCCGAACGATTCAAAGGATCCGGCGTAGTGTTTCCCGCCGGTCTGAAGGCAAATATGCTGGAGATTCGGCGCGTTGGGAACGACGGCGGCGAGGAGGTTCCTCAACATCTTGCCATTGATCTCGCAGTTCTCTGCCTCGGTGGGGCGGTTGGCCCACGTTACGTAGAAGATGTGGGTGACGTCGGAGAGCGGGGAGAGCTTCGAATCGACGTCGGAGGCGTCGGCGATGTCGCACTGGATGTACTCGATTGGGTGGTCGGAGTTCCAGTTGGGGCGAGGGCGTCGAGCTACGCCGTAGACCTTCCATGGCCCGCCGGGAGTGTCGGCGAGAGGGAGGATCTCCGCCAAGCTGTTGCCCACGATTCCGGTGACGCCGACCACTAGGGCCACGCTCTGGTAGCTTCGCGGCGGCTCATCTTCATCGAGCTTCTTCTGCAGGGGGAAAGGATAAAACCCAAATTGGAGGCGAACCCAGTTTCGAACTGGTCAAAAGCGGAAGTGGGTTGGAGAAATTGAGATCAATTGAAAGATTAGCGATAAGATTTACCTTAGCTGCTCCAATGGCGCCAGCCCACCACCAGCTCATTCTTTCGGATTGGGGAAGCGGATAAAGGGAATTTGGTATTTATGGGCTTCACGGCGACTGTAATATCGATTCGGTGGCGCTTATGCTCCGCTGGATTATCTTCTTCCTGTGCCCTGTGAGCTGAGCTTGATCTGAATTATCATTTGGAAAATGGGGAAAAGAAATGTAATAATCAGAGACTCAAGAGGGTTCTTCGTCTTTTTCCATTTTAGGAGCATAATAATAATTCTGAATCACATCAGAGGACCGACTGCTATGCGTTGTGTGGTTGACGGATGAGTTGAAAGGGACAGCCTGTTTCTTGTTGCATGCATTATCTAATTCGCTCTGTGACTGATAATTGGAAACAGAGGAAAACCTCTCTTCCCTTGCTCGCACACTTCGGCCGAAGCTAGCAAGCATTTAATGGGCCTGAATTGAGGCGAGCTTGGCAGGTGATTGCAAAGAAGGCCCAATAAATAATAACACTACCTGAGAACCTTTCTCGGTCACTGGTCCCACTGCGGCAAGTCGTACGCTGGGCCGAAACTCCCAGGCAGCCCCCGAAAATATCTCATCACTGGGCCCCAATGTCTCCATCCGTGCATAGAGGGCCCAGAGTAGTTTGTTCCACACCGCCCACATTTCTCGCTTCACTTCACTTTCATCCGAGATTCGAGAACTGGCAACAAAACCCGAACCCACGGGTATCCACCCGACCCAATCCAATCAATGCGGGTAAAATCTGTGTTGACGGGTTTTGGGTGAAGTTTGGGTTTAAACTCGTTCATTATTTATCGAGTTTGGTTTGGGTTTAGGTAAACCCGCTCCATGGGTACCCGTCCACACTCATATAATTAATTTTCTTGGTATATTTAATATTCTAAACAACTAATCTTATTTATGTTTGTGGAAACATGTCTAATTTTTTCTTTCTAATTGTGTGGAATGAAGTTGATGTTATTGAGTGCAGAATGAAAAAACTTAATTGACAAGAAGAAAGAAGCTTTCAATTAATCATGTTATTTATGGATAATTTGTGATTTGCTTCAACTGTCTTGTGTTTTCTAGATTGGTGTTGAACAATTTGTATAGTTAATTTTTGATTTGCTTGAATTTTCTAGAATGATGTTTTATATATGGATAATTTGTATTGAGAGATTGATATTTGACTTTAATTTTGATAGGAACTTGTTATTATAAATTTTTTACGACAAAAATCCGTGGGTACCCATGAACCCGCGGATACCCAGTAGATTGTGGTGGGTTTGAGCTTTTCAAACCCATTGGGTTTTACCCCGGGTTTTTTTCACGAATAAACCCATGAGTTTGGGTTTGGCAAAAGCCGACCCATTCCCATCCCTATCGACAACCCAGACAGTAACATGGCAAAAACATTAATATTGTCATCGATCGGCTAAGTCTCCAATTGATATGATTTGAATCGGATTATTCACTTTAATTGGATTTCACAAAGTCTGGATATAATTTGTAATCTCCTTAAACTTAACAAACCTCACTCTGTTATAAACTTACTAATATTATTGATTAAACTCGTATATCTGTGTTATTTACTTTTTCCATTGTCAATTATATCAATTCGTGTGTTCTTTCACTTTCTTTCCAACATATTGTATTATCACATTCACTCAAAATCTCAAACCTCCCCATAACTTGTTTGCATTCGTATTTATGGCAAGGATCCATCCATCTTCTTAACGTCACGCCCATTCAGAAAGCTCAGTTTCTTCCCTCCCATTCCATCTCAATAACTTCCCATGCTTTCCGTATCCGGAGATACCCATCAAACTATTTATTTCTCACCATCCCATTTCCACTCGCAACTCCCAAGAATGTCTACTGGTTCTCTCCGATCTAGAATTCGATTCAAACCGGTATGAACCAATAAACCCAGAAACATGGTTCGACTTCTGCAAAACATGTTGACGAATGCAGAACTTATTGGCTAATGGCTACCTGTTGAGTTCGGAATCAAAGCTTTGATCTGTTATTGTTAGCATCTTCTTCAAGAGATGAATGCACAAGCTCTAGATGGAACAAAGATACACAAATGGACTATTTGGCCTACAGACCTGGAACTTTTGACATTTGATGTATGAAGATTGATGACTGACTCTAGGCTCTAATCTTATCTACAAATTCAAAAGAGACATTTTGGTCCAACGACCAAAACTTCCAGAAACCAGCTAAAGCCCCCTACATTCTTCTGCTTTGCCGTCCTACTAATCTGTTAAGCCACTACTAGAACTTTTCCCTTCTTCCCTAATCATCCATTGTCCACCGAACATTGTTCTCAGTACCACCTTCTTGATCTCTCTCCAGTGCAGCAACTCTGGTCTGATAGCCTGCAGGAGCCATGGCAGGTTTTACCACCCTCTGAGTATGAGGAAGCTCGCAGGTTTCACTTACGGAAGCAAATCTCAACTCAGCAGGAGGGATAAAACAGTCCATCGACAGTCCAGGTACGTTGAAGGCTACTTCCTCGATTACCCAAGCTTCTTCCATTCGGGTCCGGGTGTGACTCATTGCTGTATCTCCAAACCTGAAGAGGGTTACAACCGAACGACCCGAATGAGCGATCATGACTCCGTCCACTGGTCTGTAATCGTCGAGGAAGGAGTTGATTGTGGTCTCCCAGTAGACAGCATCACCGCCATTGTTCTGGATTCGAGTCAAGTGGGAGTCTTCCAGGTGAACAAGGAGGCCCGTTTTCTGGCTGAAGTATCCAAAGAGAACATGTCTAATTATCTCTGCCGGTCCTTCACTTCTAGCCTTGAGAGTTGCAGGATCAGCACATATCTTGAGGATGAAGCAGTCATCATCGTTGATCTTCTTTTCTCCGATGCATCTCGCATTAGTGAACATGCTTGCTGTTGTTCTTGGGTCGAGACCCTGTGTAAGAAAATTGATTTGAAATCATTAACTACTATCAGACTGGGGCATTTCAAGTGCAGCAATCGTGATCAATGAAATGGTGAAGCTGCCATTTTCCCTTACCTGTAATGCACGGCGCAAGGGTCTAACAGGACCTTTTGCAGCATGCGGACCGAGCCAGGGTGTGTGCCTCCAGACAAGCTTCCCATTGCAACCGGCATGAACTTTACTTCCACCAAGTGCTAGCTCCACATACCACATGTCGGGATTCATTTGCCACAGGACAAAGCCCCCAGATTCAGCAGTTTTAGAAGAGCCCCTATTCTTGGTCACCTTGTTGGCTGTCTCAAACTCTGAAGCAATCATCCTCACTTTTCCCATAGCATAAGCATTGTGGATTGAACCTTGAAGCCTCTGTCCTCCCGAGGCAGCCGTGTACTGCTGCAATATGTACTGTGCAGAGGAGGTTTCCTGCATTACAATCAGACAAGAGTCACACTTCAGTATTAGAAAAAGAACGAAAATTCAACATTGGACCACTGAGAAAATAAACCAAACCCAAATGATCAATCTATTCAAGACTCAAAGGGATAACTCAGATCATTGTCTCCTTCAGCTATGCAAAACAACAGCTTTTGGGGGGGCCAATTAAAGCTCCATTTTTTATTTTCCAGAAAAGAGAAATCCTCCAATTTTTCATACCTAACAAAAACCAGCTACCAATTGAAGCCATCAGAATGTAGAAAGACTAGTAGCCATGGTCATAAGCATGCTGGAATACAAACAAACAGACGGGATCCATCAGAGTGATGACAACATGCACTAGAACAAAGGGGATCTTTAATCTCTAACTCTTCAAGCTATTGTTAACAATTAAAATATCATGTCAAGAATCAATACCAACAAACCCATTTTACTGTTTAGCCTAATTGAAGAAGGCTACAAAACATTGACAAGACAGAAATTAAAGATTGTGGGTCGCTCATCATTCCATTAATATGACTCAACCAACCCAAGTCAAATGAATGCAGAAGGCATGGGCAAATTCAGGCAAATTGGGGAAAGTACAATTGATTCACAACGAATTGCAGAACGAGAAATCGGAAAATGGGAAACGAATTGGGGAAAAGAGACTAACAATTGGAGTGTCCTTTATGCTTAGGTGAGGCAATGGTTCAGAACTGCTGACATGAACGGGAGCCAACGGAGCACCCAACACGCCGAGAAGCAATCTCAGATCAGCCCTTTTGCAACCATCCACCGACGACGACGCTGCCGACGGCGCTCTGGCGAGTGGACCTTTCATCCACTGGCGACCCCACCGACCTTCCGCCCTGCTGGAATCTCCAACGCCGTCTTGATCCGGCCCTTCCATCAAAGGCGAAAGAGCCTCTGGGGGGCGTAAACTCCCCGATCTCGCGATCATAAGCGGCTCCGGCTGCGAGACGCGTTGTCCGTGGCCCTTCCTCCGACGCAAGAGACTCGACATTGGCGACGCACTCCTGGCGGGGCTCTTTGCACGCGACCTGCTCGGCGAAAGTCCTCTGATGACTTCCCCTTTCAAAGCAGAGAAGAACCCTTGTTTTCGCTCCATTTCTTTAGCGGATTTCCGCCGCTAGGAGAGGCGGTGGCGAGTGATCAGGGGGTCAGTGGGAAAATGGAGGAATGAATGCTGGTGCTTGAGCAGAAAACAGAGCTAACTGAGAAGGTAACGAGTAAAGAGACTGAGTGAGAGAGAGAGAGAGAGAGAGAGAGGAGAGTGACAGTGCCTGGAAGATAAAGCAGTCTTTTTTTAGGAAAAAGAAACTAAACAGAGAAAGATAAAAAAGACTAAAGCGTGTTGTCTGATAATTAATTAATTAATTAAAATAAAATGTTGTATAGCAAATCTAATTGTTAATTATTAGTAAACTAACCACTAAAGAATACAAATTAATTTGTTAATTATTAGTAAACTAACCACTAAAGAATACAAATTAATTTGTTAATTATTACGAGACTGCACACCAAGTACTTCTGGATTTGTGATTTGTTAATGGTGTCGTTTGCTGGATAGACATTTGGCTAGATTTTGGTGGGGAGTGAAACAGGGTGAGCGGCGGATTCATTGGGTTTCTTGGAAATCATTGTGCTTAAGTAAACATGAAGGAGGTTTGGGTTTTAGGTGTTTTGAGGAGTTTAATCAGGCTTTGTTGGCAAAGGTGGCGTGGCGAATTTGGAAAGAGCCTAATTCTTTGTTAGCTCGGGTGTTTAAGGGTAAGTACTTTCCCAACTCCTCTATTCTGGTGGCCAAGGCTGGATCTTTACCTTCTTGGGGCTGGCGGGGGGTGTTGCATGGACGTGATTTGCTGGTCCAAGGTTTGCGATGGCAAGTTGGCTCGGGTGAGTCGATAGATGTGCTAAAGGACAATTGGGTGCCAACGTTGCATCCATCTCCCCCGAAGCCTCGTCCGGGGATCATTAGGGTCGAGGGGTCAGTTGCGTCTTTAATTTGCCCGAATCAAGGGGTTTGGAGGGTGGATTGCCTACGTCAGATCTTTGAGGAGGATACTGTCCGAGCTATTCTGGCTGTTCCGTTGCCTATTTCGCCGGTGCCTGATCGTATGGTTTGGAATGGGGAGCAATCAGGTCGCTATACGGTCAAGTCTGGCTATCATTTAGCAGTGGAGATACGGAGGTATAAGGAGCTAAGGGTGTAGGCGAAAGTGCAGGTGTGGGATCGTAGTCTATGGAAAAGGGTTTGGGGGGGCTCCCATACCTCCCAAGTTGCGGTATTTCATATGGCAGATGGTTCGCGGTGTCTTGCCAACTGGTGAGGCACTGAGTACTCGGGGGGTAGGGGGGCTGGAGCCATGTCCAGTCTGCGGGGAGGAGGGGGAATCTCTTGAACATCTCTTCTTCCGCTGCCGAGTAGCGATGGAATTGTGGGAAGGGGCGGGGCTTCTGGCCATTCGCGATCGCTTTCCTCTTTGCAATGTTGGGATCTTTTGGCGCAGGTTACTCGAGTGGCAGGAGCTTGATCAGGGGGCCATGATGCATGTTGTAGCCCTTTTCTGGCGCATTTGGAAGGCCCGTAACTGGGTGGTCTTTGAGTTGACTCAGTACATTGTGCCGGTGTTGTTATCTCAATTTCGTTTGCGGGTTGCAGAGTGGGATGGCATTATTACCGGCCAAGGTGCTTGTCGTTACTCAGGGGGCTCAGGTATCAGAGGCCGTCAGGATGTTCCGTTGGGAGAGTTCGTCATGTTCGTGGATGGAGCTACGGCGCCTGGTTCACATGGAGCGGGAGGTTGGGCTCTTCAAGATCCCACGGGCATGGTGGTGGCAGCATCGGCAGCACTGTATGTGGGGATTTGGGAGCCGGCTCTTGTGGAATTACTGGCCTTCCGGGATGCGCTTCGATGGTGCTTGGCGTTTGGTTTCCAGTCGATGATTTTTGCAGGTGACGCCCAAGTGATCGTGGGGAAGATCCGGGAGGGTGAGGTAGATGATGTCCATGGAGGGATGCTGTTGGAGGAGATTCGAAGTATGCGTGACTTGTTCCAGGAGTTTCGGGTTATTTTTGTGGGTCGGGAGTCTAATAGGGTTGCCCATTTGGTGGCAAGAAAAGCCCTTTCGTTGTCCCCTTCATTGGTGGGGTTCAATTTTGTTTCTTGGCTGTTTTCAGCTATGTGACTATTTTGTATCTGTCTGTTTTCTCGGTAATACGAGCGATCTTTTGGCAAAAAAAAAAAAAAATGGTAATGGGCAATGGGTCTCAAACTTTCGTTGAATGGACAAGACAAGTTTGGAGTGGATAGTGCTCAATTTGTGCCCGTTCGGCCCTCTAATTCCTAATAATATGTTCTCTTATGCGCTTTACGATGGATCGCCAATATTTTCCCGTAATTAAAATTCTATTAAGCACAATTGATTAATAGATCAAGCCTCCAAAAAATAGGGACCATGTCCACAATTGTGACTACATCTCATTAAAAAATGACTCAAACCAATCTACCAAATTATGGTACACTTTGCAACTCTTTGCTCCATACACTTAGCCACCAGTTTACAACTAGTCTATGCACTCGAATGAGATTCCAAACTTTGCTACACAAGGAAACGTCTCATAGCATTCATTTCCTATGTAACTACCCATGTTGCATCCACTGTCGTTCGAAACCGAAACCAACTTCTTATCTTCTATAACTTCTTCCAGATCCACGACCCTAGTGTTGTAAGATACGTGTATCAAATAGAACGATCATTCTTGTTTAACACTAATGTGTTGGTCGGATGCCTAACACTCTCTGTCATCATTGTACATTCTTAAGAATCACACTGTGTGTGCTAGGGGTGTACATGGGTCGGGTGGTTCGGGTTTAACCATTTTAATCACCCGACCCATGCACTACGGTTTGAGAAATATTAAACCCAAACCCACCCAAAAAAATTTAAACCCTACGGTTTATTTCTAATTGGGTTGGGTCGGGTTGGCGATATTTTTAAGTAAAAACCCAACCCAACACAAAATATGTAATTATTCTACAACATAAAATATATTTTATAAATAACTAAATTTCAAATGAATAAACCGAGGTGAAAGGCATCAAATTTCACAAATGTTGTTTCATTTTTAATAAAATGTGGTTTACTTCAACATATGTCTAATTTTTTCACGATATTTGTTAAAATAGGCTAAAAAGGTTATAAAAGAATGCACCCATAATATGTTATTCTATTAAATTGTACACAAGAAAAAGGATTACATGAATCATAGCTATATTAAATTTATGTCTAAACTTTAAACCTAAGAATGCATTAAATTAGGGGGACCATGAGAGAAAAACATGGTGAAATATCTTAATTTTAGCATAATTATAAATGACATAAATATTTTTGGATACGAACTCCTACCAATAGTTGGAACACGGGTTGGGTCGGGTTCTACGGGTTGTGTAATCCAAAATCCAAACCCAACCCAATATAGGCGGGTTGTACAAAAGAAAACCCTCACCCAACCCGAAACCTTTGTTTTAGCGATAAATACGGTTGGGTTGGGTCGGGTTGGACGGGTGGGTCGGTTTACGGGTGTGTTTGTTCACCCCTAGTGTGTGCCACCATTACTTAGGTCTCCTAAATCGCTTGCATCGTGACATCAGCTTTTGTCATATTTACCCAAATTTGTATATTTTGATCACCCATCCGATGGACCAACAACAGCCCCCAAACACATGGTGTTTTCCTTTTTTAAGAAAAGGGTTTTCCATCCATTTTCCTGCCACATTCTTCTTTCCTTTTCCATTGACAAGTCGTTGAATCTTTCGCAGACGCATGAATTGGCCATGTATATGTATATTGCCCAATCACATCCATCGCCAATCACGGTAAGCTTTTAATGAGCCGAGCCGAATCGAGATTTGCAATAGTTCGGACTCGACTCGTTAATATATTTTCAAACTCGAGCTCTACTCATTTATGAAAATAAAAGCTCGAATTCGGCTCGTCAAATAAGGTTAACGAGTCCAAAATCGAGTTCAACTCATAAAAAGTTCATGATAACTCAAGATTGACCTAGAAATGAACACAAAATTACATTCAAACTTGTAGCAAAGTCTAGCAAAATAAAACACAATATTTATCCCAATTTTAATACATAAAATCCAAGAATTCTAATCATTCGAATGCCAATCTATTAAATGAGCTTGTTCGCGAGCTTTCAAGCTGAACATGGTATGGCTCGAGTTCGACTCTTTTAGTTAACGAGCTTGTTCGCGACCTAACTCGATTAAGACGAATCGAGTGTAGAATGGGTTTTTCTCGAGTCGAACGTCGAGCCGTTCATGAGCGACTTGGTTCATTAACGGCCCTAACTATAATACGTAATCAAGCACAAGCTTATAAAGTTCTCTTTTGAATAATTTGCCCCTTGGGCGTATATATCTCTAAAGGGTTATAATTAGAGAAAAAGGAATAGGAAAAGACTGATGGGTTTTTGGAAGGGGCATAATTAGGGACAACTCATGCGAAGATTGGTAGGACATAATTGTGTTGTGCGTGCCACACTGCCCGTTGGGAAGATTACGTTTAGAACTTCGGGGAATGATGGTCTACTCCAATCAAATTGTTTCCATGGAATGATTGCCTTGAAAGAATCCCTCAAGTACTCGAATACTTAAAATGTATGGTGTGGTTTTCAAAATAAAATGTAATAACGAAGAGTGAAGAATATATGTAGAATCAATTGTTACTGTTTGAGAGTCATGAGGAATCGAACATGTGATCACTCAGACAAAGATTTTAAGGGTTCGTTTGGAAGTTGCGATTGTTAAATAGATGTATTGTTGAGAATGCATGTATAATATTATACATGTATTGTCGAATTTGATGCATTGTAGAATACAACGTTTGGTATGTGTGATTGTGTATGTCGCATCAGCTAAAAGCTGAGACAAAACAATCTCAACTCAACTATCTCAACAATCACAACTAAAAGTTGAGATATAACAATCACTCAAAATGAGTAATCGTTTCTGTCACATCACAGAAACAATCCATGTATTGTTTCTGCTAAAAAAACAAAAAAACGATGCATTGTAAACAATACATGCATAATGACAATCTCAACAAAACTATCGCAACTTCCAAACGACCCCTAATATTATGTCATAAGAATAAAAGAGTCTCGATAGTTTGATGTCAAGAGCTAATTGGTACTAATAATTTGAGTTGTTAACAAAGACGCAAAATAGAATAGTATATCATTTCACCTACAACGTATAAGCGGTGCATTTCAAATTTTT